AGAAGTGGATAATAGACTTATTATACCAGAACTAACTCATGTTAGATTTATAGTTACAGGTGCTGACGTTATCCATTCTTTTGCTTGCCCTGCTTTAGGTATTAAATGTGACGCCTATCCTGGAAGATTAAATCAAGTTTCTGTTATGATTAACAGAGAAGGAACATTTTATGGTCTGAGGCCATAGTCGAAGTGAACCTTCGGCTCAAAACCTTCAAATTGCGGGAAATCCCTAAAGCAATTTCAACCAAACCAGGCTAGTAATACTCTGGTGGCACAGGTAATGACTCGTGGTACGGTAAAATCGAAATTGATAACTTATTTAATTAAGAATATGGGCAATCCGCAGCCAAGCACCATTTATACGTAAATGGTGTGCAGTTCATCGACTAAAAGTTGGTTGGCGCAAGCTTAAGATATAGTCAAACCCCACCTGAAAAGATGCAGAAGAACCGCTTATATATGTAATGTTCTTTGTTAAAAGGGTATAAATATTGCTATTTATACTCAGGAAGAAGTACCCTCTTTAACCAAAATACGGGTTAATTAGTGGTAGATTTGCAATGTTCAGAAATCTGTGGTATACTTCACAGTTCAATGCCTATTGTTATAGAGTCCGTTTCAATCGAGAAATTCATTTCTTGACTACAGGAACAGTAACTTTCAACCGTTTAGCTACAAAAAACTATACTAGTTTAGTTCATAGTCCTGAAAGATTAGCTTTGGAACACATGCAGAGTGGTAATACTACAACTAGTTTAGTTTTAAACAGTATACTTAAATATAAAAATGTATTTATTACTCCACAAAAACTAGAAGCTTTGTTAAGGGTTAAAGGGGTAGAGTTTGATCTTCCTATTACTAAAGATAGTAAAAGTTTTTTTTATAGTTTGGTTGGTAAATCTAAATATAGTGGTTTTGGAGGAGTATATGTCTTTACTCACATAGTTTCAGGGTCTATGTATGTTGGTTCATCTAACCTTCTGAGGCGACGTATGGAATATTATTTTAAAGACGACGCTCAACGTATTGGTGGCCTATTTCTACCTATTCTCAACAAGCAAGGTCTTAGTGCTTTTAAGCTAAAAATATATAGACTAGGTAATGACGAATTTAAAACTACAGATTGCTTACTACTAGAACAGTATATGTTATTAGATAAAAGGTATGACTTAAATACATTGAGGGTTGTTAACTTTGGATCTCAAACAGCTAATTCTATATATGTATACAATTTGTCTTGTACCATTCTCTATTATCATGCTCAATCAAAAATTAGCTTAAAAAGGGTCTTAAGTATACATCAATCTTCTTGTAATAAATATGTGAATACTAAAGTACCTTACCTGGGTTATTTTATTTTATTAAGTTTCCTTATAGATTCAACTGTTGCTAGTAACTTAAGCAGCAAAGAGCTTTTAAATGTTATGAATGAAAAACGTAAAGCTTTATATGCCTTAGGTACTCGGGCATGTAAAACTGTGGTTCTTGAATTTAAAAAAGTAAATAAATTGGTGGCCCCTTTTCAAGAGAGTTTAGAATTTGATTCTTTAAAAAGTTGTGTATCTTACTTAAGATCTCTTGGTTTGACTATAAAAAGAGCCACTTTATCTAAACGTATTAAGGAAGGTAGGGAATTCCATGGTTTTTTTTGTAAATACCAAGAAAAATCTTTACCCGCTAATTTTGATTATGAAAAGCTAGACCTGTTAATGAAGGAATACAAAAACAAAGTAGTAGTTGAACCTAAAAAAAACAAAAAAAACAAAGGTCTAGTTGTAAAATCTATTTCTGATAATAGTAAAAAGATCTTTTTCAGTATTATGGATATAGTTAGGCATTACGAAACTCAGGGTATAAAGTTAGATCGTAAATGTATAAACAGAAACCTTACAAAGGGTGGAGTGTATAAGGGATTAACTTTTGAGTATGAAATATATTAAACCTCCATGTGGTAATGTACTTAATAAACAACAAAAAAACAACTGCATGCCTATGGTAATAGAATAAGTGTCTAAGAGGGATTTGTGGTATAGTACACAGTTCAATACCTATAGTTGTATAGTCCGTTTCAACATAAAAATTCACCTTATAACCACAAGTATTGTTATTAATTCAGCAGTAATTATTATCATCATCTTGTTAAACAGTTAATCTACTGTTTTAAGGTAGTTAACAAATTTTACATTTGCATAATTATATATATTAAATTGGTTTCACATATTACTAATAACTTGGTACATTATATGGTTCGGGGACCTAGCCCCTTTTTTTTATTTTTAATTATTATACTATGACATTATTAGAAAATACCCCTTTTTTTACAACTATAACATTTTCTTGGCCACCTTTGCATCTTTCTAATCTAATGTCTTTTATTAGCTTAGAACCACACATTTGTTTTCAGTCCACAATATAGTTTCATTGCGGTGCATTCCTATGCTGTCTTTCTTGCATGGTAAAATTTCTTTTATCCTTTAGATTATTAATATTTGGCAAGTATATGTATACTCAAATTTTGTCACTTAAAATCAAGTGTTTATTTCTTTTTATTTAGGATCTTAGTTAATCCTTTAAATATGTTACTACGTAGTAAAAACTAAGCTATACTTACCCGGATTGTTTTTAATTTGGTCTTAGTTTTACGTTTTAGTTAAATAATATTCTTATTAGCTCAATGGTAGAGCAGAATACTTCTAATATTTAGATCTAAGTTCAATGCCTATTGTTATAGAATCAGTGTCTATAGAAAAATTTGTTTCTTGACTACAAGAACAATAGATAATTTACACTTGTTATAAAAACATACATGCATATATGTATGTTTTTATTCTAGGTTTTGTATGTTTATATTTTCAGTGCTCTGTTTATTCTTTTCTGATTTTTTATCAGAAAAGATGAGCATCATATAAGGGAATTAGCTCAAGGGTAGAGCAACCGTTTTACACACGGTAGGTTAGGTGTTCAAATCACCTCTTCCTTATTGTTTACCATTGTGGTATTCGCAAAATAAAATGTAAAACTTAACATGACTAACTCATTAGTATTACTAACAATGTGGGGCATATTGGCAGGGGGTATAATATTAAATGAATTTACTAGTTTTATTTTATTATTATATTACTTGGCATCATCACATGATATGCCTGTTGATTCATATGATAACATTAACGGGTTACTTTATGAGTTTAATAGTTCTATGGGTTCTCTATCTAGGGAGACACATTCTGATATGTCTTCTATATATACTAATGTATCTAATAATAATTAAGATAAATTTATTAAATATTAGCTTTATAATACCGCAACCGAAATTAATTAATTTAATAAAAGTTGCCAAGTGGGTTGAGATTATCTCAAAGGTAGTTGCAGCATTACCCCAGTTGCTAATAATTCACATGATGGATATCTTATAATAGGTAAAGAGTTTCTTATAACAGCTAATAATAAAGCTAATTGTCTTATTTTAAGTCTAGATTACTTACTTATAGTATCTATTTTATTTATTAATATTTATTATAACCTTAATATACTTAAAGCTATAAATACGTCTACTAATCTACACCTATATAAGACCCTATATATATTCGACTTTATCGGGTTTATAATAAATAAAACGTCTTTTATACACTTAATATCAGGTTTTAATTTAGAGGTAGAACACTTTTAGAATATTAGAACTAATCCTCTAAATAGTGTTCCGCGTTTAATTTATCTTACACTCTATACTTTATACTACGAGTATTTTTTCTTAACTTTTATTTCACTTTCGTTATCTTGGTCTGTTCCTAGTAGCCTACAGCTTACCGTAAGACCAGGTTGAGATTGACCTTTTAACTATGACCACTTGTTTCAGATTATTTTGTTTGAATTTTTCTAAGCTATTAGCTCTGTAAGCTAGTAGCAAATGCGGTATGCACCCTTACTGACCCCTACGTCTTACTGTAAAAGTGGTAATATATTCTTATTAGCTCAATGGTAGAGCAGAATACTTCTAATATTTAGATCTAAGTTCGAGTCTTAGATAAGAATTTAACTTTATCTATCAGTGCTTCGCAAGAAGCAGATTGGGGTAACTTAGTACTGTGCAAACATGTTATAAATCTATAATCTTTATAGCTCAACTGGCTAATATAAATACTATTAGTTTTTAGATAAATGTTCGAACTTATTTAAAGGTACTATACAGAATGTTTAAAGCATACATATTTTACTTGCTCTGCTTCTTCTTTTCTGATAAAAAATCAGAAAAGAAGAGCAATATCAAGATAAAAAGTATCTTATGTTTTATCTAGAAGCGTGTTGGCTTAATTGCTTAAATAAAGATATAATGCCATGTGATGTGATTTGCTAACGAAGTTGAGCATCTCACACACACAAGCAACTACTTTTTATGATTGTTAATAAATCTAGAGACTTTAGTTTAATTGGTAAAATATGTGACTTTTAATCATCATTATATGGGTTCGAATCCCGTAGGTCTTAAACAAACCAATTGTTAATATACATATTAGTACGCTTTAGCTTAACTGATTAAGTGTTGTGTTTAGGCCATGCTCCGCAACACAAGGATTCTAAGTTTGAGTCTTATATACCAGTGCTTCGCAAGAAGCAGATGTACATAAACATAAAAGAGGCAGATGCATATTCAAATGATATGTGTTGCGAAGCATGAAATTGTTAATAATAATAATTATACTATTATGTAATAATAAAAAGATAAAAATAAAATAAAGGGATGTCGTGTATAAGGTTGTACAGTTTGATTGCAGATCATATTCATGAGGTTCGATTCCTCGGCATCCCTTTTAGTTGCAAAGCATCACGTTGGTCAAATTACTGTAAGCGCTAATCTAGTTTATACTTATAATTTAATAATGTATGATGCCTTGTGATTTGCTAACGGAGTTGAGCATCTCACAAGGCATCATACATTTATGTTATTGTGAAAAAGTAAATAGTATAGGTTAGTATTAAGAGGAAAATGCTAATTTATTATATTCTTATTAGCTCAATGGTAGAGCAGAATATTCCTAATATTTAGATCTAAGTTCAAGTCCTAGATAAGAATTCAAGTTTGTTTCTAGTTTACATGTATTACTAATATTTTCTTTATGATAAATCATAAAGTTACTTTTGTACACATAATGGCTTTTTGTCTATTGTTATAACTTGTTTCCTTTTTTACAAAGATATATACTAATAATAAATAGTTTTTCTGTTCAATCTATAACAATATAATTGTTATCGTAGCAGAATCACACCCTAAAATTAACAAAATCCTAGTTTACTTCTATTTTTATTTTATATTATTATGAGAAAAAGTTTTTAAGTTCATATGATTATCTTTCTTTCTCATGAGATATTTTATATTTTATTTTTAATATCATGTTATATTTACCTATATTTATATCTATTATAGAAGTCATAATATTAACCGTGCCTGTACTGTTAACCGTGGCTTATGTTACGGTTGCAGAGAGAAAAACAATGGCAAGTATGCAAAGAAGATTAGGTCCTAACATAATAGGATATTACGGTTTATTACAGGCGTTTGCAGATGCCTTAAAGCTTCTTTTAAAAGAATATGTTTTTCCCACACAAGCTAATTTAGTTTTATTTTTTCTTGGACCTATCATAACTTTAATCTTTTCCTTGTTAGGATTTTCTGTTATACCATATGGTCCTGGTCTAAGTATATCAGACTTTGATTTAGGAATACTTTATACGTTAGCACTTTTTTACTTCTCGGCTTGTGCCCTGTTATATGCGTTTCCATGTACCTGAACCCTTCATTTAGGAAAGTATGTTTTTTTAACTATTAATTGAGCAATATATATTATAAGTGTATTCGCTTATCTATTTATAGTTTCTCCACCGAACCCTTATTCTTTTGTGAGCTTACCATTACAGAGTAGGAGTAGCTATATTGACTTAATATCTATAAGTCAAGCAATAGCTTTGGTAGATGATACCGATCATAGGCATCCTTCCTTGGAAGATAGAGTAGATTGTTATATGAATGGGATATTAACCTACCATTTTCCATGGCAACGCGACGAATTTCATGAGGGCGAGAGGGTACCTGCAGGTTTTATTATAGCTCCCCAATCTTGAACCCATGAATTCCCCGGTCCTGGTAGAAGAAAACCAGACTTTACACTCAGCTATATTAATGAAAGGTTAGCAGAGGATCCTTTCGATTTTTTATGAGTTGAGTCTAAAAGACCATTTGAGAGCTTTTTTAAAGCTCTGGATCAGGTAACCGCAGCTATTTACTTAAGAAGAGGCTATGCGGACCCTAATGGACAATATGGTGGTTTTGTTATTGTAGCCGTTGGTAGAGAAATAGCATTCTTCAAAATACCATTAACAAATGATGCAGTGGATGTTACTTGAGATAAAGTTTTACCTTTAAGATATGAAGGCCTTGACTTATCGCAATCTAGACCATTATATATTGATGATGATGAGAACAAGTCAAGAATAGGCGATATATGACATGTTCAGCATCATGAGGAAGCTGTCAATTATATATTTCAAGGTATATTAAAACATACTTTGCATCGAGCTAATTAAACAAAGCATTATTTTCAGTAACAACATATATCTCATAGGGCATAAAGCCCAGGCTACGATTGTATTTGCCTTATCTCATTATGTATAAGACTAAAACAGATAGTTTTACAAATGTACGCATAAAGAACTTATTTGTTGCCCTAGAAGGATAAGTGATAGAATTCAGACAGGGCAATTTATTGTTAACTGGTATTTATGTAATCATAGACACTTATCCCGTCCTTAGGGATGGAAATGCGTGACAGGTGCCTTATAATTTATTGAAAAAAAAAGTTATAAATGATAAGATATCTGGGGAGAAGGGTCCTATATGACATATGGCATATTTGAGCTAAATAACATGTATATTTATAGGGCATAAAGCCCGCTAACTAACCCATGGCATTCTTATTAGCTCATGCCTTTTTAAGCTTACCCTTATAATTATGAAATAATATAAGTGATTTATTTTCCATTTGGTTTAGGTCTCTTACTAATGGGTTATTCACTAATAGGTTTTATGGATATATTTAGATGTTGATAATCAGATTAGGTTTTTATCTTTTTTGTTTATTAATATATTTGTAATTGGCAACATGACCCAATTTTACATTTAAAATATAATATTTTTGATAATTATTAGGTCATATTGATAATGGATAATATATGTGCCTTATTACATACAATATGGATCATGCTTGAGCATTAATAGAATATCCTGTACCTAATTATATTATAGTTAGCATAATACCCAATTTGCCTCTCAACTTTTATGCTTTACAAGCATATGTCAATAGTATATTAAACAATCTAATAGGTATAAATGTAAGTTTACCTAATTTATATTGTGAATGCAAAAATATAAAATAAAGGGATATTATGTATAAGGTTGTATGGTTTAATAGTGGATCATTACCATAAGGTTTGCTTACTCAACATTATCTTTACTAAGTATTAGGAAGGGTAAATTTAGTCTAGATACAATTTAACACTATATTGGTAACAAAGTATGGCGTCATACGTTTATGTTATTATAAAAAAGAATAGTTCAGGCTTTAAGTATTAAGAGTAAAATGATAATTTATTATATTCTTATTAGCTCAATGGTAGAGCAGAAGATTCCTAATCTTTAGATCTAAGTTCAACTCTTAGATAAGAATACAAGTTTGTTTATAGTTCATATGTATCACTAATCTTCATGATAAACCATAGAGTTGCTTTTGTATACGTAATGTTTATCGTCACCCATTATTTCCTTATTTCCTTGCTCACTTTTTTACAAATATATATACTAATAATAAATAGTTCTCCTGTTCCATTTACAACATTTTAGTTGTTATTGTAGTATATGCTTCTTGCGCCATGTTTATTCTTTTCTGTTTTTTCATGTGAAAAATCAGAAAGGATGAGCAAGAAGCGTTATCGCTAGACCCAAAAACTAATAAAATATTAGTTTACTTCTATCTTTAATTTATATCTAGGTGAGAAAAAGTTTTTAAGTTGGTTGCTTTATTTTTGATGAGATATTATATGTTTTATTATTAATACCATGTTATATTCACCTATCTTTATATCTGTTATAGAAGTTGTAATAGTAACCGTGCCAGTATTATTAACTGTGGCCTATGTTACGGTTGCAGAGAGAAAAACAATGGCAAGTATGCAAAGAAGATTAGGTCCTAACATAGTAGGATATTACGGTTTATTACAGGCGTTTGCAGATGCCTTAAAGCTTCTTTTAAAAGAATATGTTTCCCCCACACAAGCTAATTTAGTTTTATTTTTTCTTGGACCTATCATAACTTTAATCTTTTCCTTGTTAGGATTTTCTGTTATACCATATGGTCCTGGTCTAGCTATATCAGACTTTGATTTAGGAATACTATATATGTTAGCAGTTTCTTCCTTATCTACTTATGGTATATTATTAGCAGGATTAACGATTAGTCCCCTTATTACGTGAGTAATAAGTAAAACATTGGGTGAATTTCAAGAAACGTTTTGAAACTTTCAAAGTCAACTTGAAGAAAAGTCTAGTTTAATTTTCTTAACATATTTTGTTAATATAAGGTATGAAATAGTTTTAATTCTTTTAATAAACTATTGATTAAACTTTAAATACTCAACGACTAGTAGATGAGACTCAAGAGAAGTCGATAACTTTACCACGAGCGCCCAAAATCTTAAAAATTTTATTTTATTATCAAGTTTAAAGGCTAAGCCTAAATTATCTAGTGTATTAGCTACAAATTTAAATAACGCTACTATAGACCCGACTCTTTTATTTTTTGTTATTAAGGGTAACAAAGCCTTCAACTCTAAGGTTTTGATTCAATCTACTACTTATATACCTACTTATAGACTTTTTAGTATATTCTATATAGTGGGCAAGCCTAATCCAGTAGGTAAAAGATATTATTCAACTAAAATTGAAGGTATTGCTTGCGCAACTAAAAAGGAAAAAAAAGTTTAAACATTGAGGAATTAAAGCCACTACATAATCTTTATATAAAAGATCTATACAAAGATAGAAATGCTATTGCAAAACCTTTTGATGATAAAGTTTTAGTTACTTATAATGATATAAAGAAGAGGTCTGAACTTGTAAAAAAATGAGGATCTCTTAGTTGTATATATCTTATAGAATATAAATATAATTGTCTAGTATACTATATAGGTAGAACTACTTTATTTAAAAGAAGATTAAACAACCATTTACAACCTAATACTAATAGTAAATTTCATCTCTTTGTAAATCTAGTAGGTTGAGAACATTTTAAAATATCAATAATAGAAATATGTTCAGCACCAGAACAAGGAGCTAGAGAGAATTATTATTTACAAAAATACCTTCCTTTATTAAATACTAGCTTTTCTTCTTCATTTTCTGAATCACAAATACATGAAACTTTAGCTACTAAATTATCCATGTTAAAAGATAATAATACAATTTATGTAAGTGGTAAATCTAAAGAAGTGTATGTTTATGAAATTATGTGTAATCAGATAAATCAAAAATATGCTAAACATAAAAGCATTATAGAAGCTAGCCAACTACAAAAAATAGCTAGGGGAACAATATCTATCTATATAGATACTAATATTCCATTTAGAGGTAAATTGTATAATAGTAAACCAATTATAGATCTAAAAGAAACATTTAAGTTAGTTAAAACTGTATCAAATGATTTCAAACTTAACAGCAATATAGCTCAAGAAGTTTGAGCATATGATGCTCAAACACTAGAATTAATAAAAGGAAATCCTTTTGTATCTAAAACTCAAGCATCACATGCTATAGGTATCAGCAGAAATGTTATTAATTCTTTCATTGACACTAGTAAGGCAGAAGGAATAAAAGGTACATATTTATTTAGTAAGCAACTTACTGATGAAGAAATCAGGAAATTACTTACTAATATAAATACTTTACAATTAGGTAATAAGAAAAAGGTTTGAGCTTCTAATTCACAAACATTAGATTTAATAAATAATTTTCCTAGTTTAAAGTTAGCTGCTGAATCTTTTAATGTAGAATATAGAACTAATAGAAGACATTTAGAGACAAAAACAGCTAGACCTGAAAAACTATATCTTTTTAGTAAATAATTGGATTATTTTATAACAAAATAACTTAAAAAGAATATGTAGTAGATATCTTTACTTCAACCCGTTTATAAATTAAGAGTCACAGATTCTTTGTAGTATCTTTTGATAAAAATATTAATATATATAAGATTATGATATAGTCTGAACCATAATGTGAATTATGGAAGTATAAGATAAAGAGCTTCTACAATAACAAATTTGGATCAGCTAATTCTAAATATGCGTTCTTAGGTTCATTAAGAAGTACTGCTCAACTAATTAGTTACGAATTGATCTTAAGCTCAGCCATTCTGCTTGTTGTATTATTATCAGGTAGCTTGAGCTTAACCGTTAATACAGAAATGCAAAAAGCAATCTGATATATTGTACCACTATTGCCTATCTTTATAATTTTCTTTATAGGATCCATAGCAGAAACAAATAGAGCTCCCTTTGATTTAGCCGAGGCTACTGAATAAAAACAATATGATTTGGTCTCGTAAAAGATTGCTATATGCTGGAAAACCTTTATATTCTACAAGACAATCAGCAGGAAACCGAAAGATATTAACGTATCCTAGTAGGATCCTCAGAGACTACATGCAATCATTAAATACAAAATTATATTGTGTTTAAGAAGATATAGTCCAACTTTGCATGTGAATGTAAAAGTAATGTATTTATCTGAAACCTATAGCCTCCGCACATAACAATTATAAAACAGGGTTTCGTTTTATAATTGAACATAGAAGAGGCTTTTCTACTTTTATTTCTACTTATTCATCTCAATCAGTAAACAATTTAGCTACACATATTCCTATAAAAGTTTTTCATAATTTAAATAATAATGAAGCAGTTATTACTTATAATAAAATATTAAGAAAGAAGGCAGGTATATACTGTTTTATAAATACTGTAAATAACAAACGATATATAGGTAGTGCCAAGGATTTATACTTAAGACTTCTTGTTGCTAACGAAGTTGAGCATCATCTTGCAAACAAAAAATCTAATACAGCTTTACAAAGTGCTATTTTAAAATATGGTTTAGATAAGTTTGACTTTTGTGTATACGAGTACTTTACTTCTCATAGCAAAAGAGTAAGTAATAAAGCTTTAACAGACTTAGAAACAAGTTACATTAAAAAGTATCCCTTTGATAATTTGTATAATTTTAGGAGAACAGCTACAAGTATTGAAGGTTAGAAGCATACTGATGAAGCTAAGTTAAAAATGTTAAAGAGATTTGAGAATAAATCAAATCATTCTATGTATGGTCATGCTCAACTTCGTTAGCAACACATAAGGAGGAAACTTTAAAATTGAGAAGTAAACCAGGTGAGTTTAATCCTATGTTTGGTAAACAACATAGTGAAGAAGCAAAGAAAAAGAGAAGCGGTAGAATAAGTAAACATCCTAATGGAGTAGGTATATATGATTTAAACAATAATTTAATTAAAAATTTTAAAAATAATCTTGAGTTAGCCAAACATTTAAACATATCTAAAGTTACAGTAGGTAAATATTTAAATTCAAATCTTGTTTATAAAAACCAATATAGGTTTAAGGTGAATAATAATTAGATAAATTAAAACCTTAATTTTCTTTTTATATACATTACATAGGGAATCTGAGCTAGTTAGTGGTTTTATGACAGAACATGCAGCAGTTATATTTGTTTTTTTCTTCTTAGCCGAATATGCTAGTATTGTTCTTATTTGTATTTTAACAAGTATACTCTTTTTGGGTGGTTATTTACTAAATTTTACATCTCTTCTAGACTTGATTAAATACATCGATTTATATTTATATGTTAGTATTATATATAGTGGATATGAAACTTTATTATCTGACCCCTTAATAGAAGGAATGATATATGGCCTAACCTTGGGATTTAAGGCCTGCATTATGATATTTGTGTTCATATGGGGAAGAGCTTCTTTTCCTAGAATACGTTATGATCAATTGATGTCATTTTGCTGAACTATACTTTTACCATTAGTAATAGCTTTTATAATATTACTTCCCTGTATTTTATACAGTTTTGAAATCATACCTACTAATGTTTTCCTCTTATAGAAAATGAAGCTCAGCTTCACTAGCTACAAAAAGACTTATTAAATCAAATATCTTTAATGCCGCTTAAACATATAACTAATAAAAGTCACAATAAAAATCACCTTACTCAGATATCAATTAACGTTATTAATAAGTTTTAAATTGAAAACATGTGCTGAACCTAGGCAGTGTAATACGTTGACAGCACATGTTATAATAGTATTAAGTTCGGTTAATTTTGCATTTATATATAGAGATTGCCACATGCTAACTAGTTACACGCTAATTCTTGACTCTAGCAGCTCCTTAAATCTTTCTTCTGGCCCTCTTGAGAGTCCTTTAGATCAATTTGAGATAAGGAATCTTTTAAGTTTAGATGCCCCTATTTTAGCTAACCTTCATATTTCTTTAACTAATATTGGACTATATTTAACAACAACTTCATCTGTAGCTTTAGTTTTAAACCCTTTAGCTACAACCTATAATAAAGTAATAGCTAATAGCTGATCAATAA